CGGTCCCCAACTTTCACACCAAAATAATGTTCATAGGCTGTCTTAACGATAGGTGTCATTTTACGTTTCTGAGCCTTAAATGTTATTTCACCAATAGCAAAAGCTATCGACAGAATTCACACACTTTCGAGGCATTTCAGATCAGCTCAGCACTTAAATTAATTTAAAAATCAACTTCACACGATAATTTCAATAGCAACCACGTGCGTACAATTGACAAACTCACATATGTTTACTACTTAAGAATAGCTGATGAGAGGGGTGTTATGTAAACAAACATGTGTACCAACTGTTGGTGATGAAATATTTCATTTGTTGAAAACTCAATATACATTTATATAATATAATGATACTATATCTTGAAAACAAGAGCTAATATATAATTTTTATGGTCACTTTCGGTTTTAACACGTGGAAATACATTAAAATCATCTAATTTCAACCCCGAAACAAAAACTTTGTTGTGTTGTGATAATCATCTAGGAAGAAATGTACGACACAAATACGTTACGGAATTATTGAACAAATTTATGGAAACTGGATCTGTTAACAATAAAAAGCATAACCGGTCAGTTGTCAACGATGAAGCTATTTTTACTGCAGTTTCAGGACATGTTAGATTAATGAAAAATTCGCAATCTCTCACCAAATCATCTCAAGAATCAGGAATCAGTCGTACAAATGTTTTCAAGGTCCTTCATAAGTATAATGCAAGTAAACGATATAGTGCAACTTACCTTCCAACAGCTTCCATTTAATAATATAGTTAGGGAGCTAACTAATTTCGTTATCCAATAATCATTCCTGATGATATAAGAATCACAATAACTATATAATATATACAGTGTCACCATTAAAGTGCGCACCATTTGGGAAACTTTTTTTTCGAAAAGTTTCAATGAAGTTTAACTAGAAATCTAGAAAGGTTAATGCAGTCAAACTGCTGGAAAATGATTCCATGAAAATCAAAAAAGATAAGTACTCTTTGATCATTCCCATATTGATTTCAATTAAAGAGCCACCGGTATACAGCTGTTTCAGCCTATTGGGCATCGTCAGTACCGGGCAGTACATGGCAATGATTGCCATGATTTGCTTTGAACTTGACAAATCAATTTGAGTCCAAGGTTACCTATCTTGCAAAAAAATCGTGTTGGGTGAATAATTGCAGGGCATATATTTTTTTAAAATAACATGTCTGAAATTCATTGCAATTTGAGCATGGATTCGACTAACCTTGACAATCAAATGGAACAATTTTTGGAAAATCAAAGAATTCATGTAAAAACAGGCATATTCTTCAGAATAATTGTTCTGCGAAGATCATTTCAAAGCAAATACTTATAGTTTTGACTTGATGTTCCATAAAATCCTTGATCCAAATGCAAAAGGTGAGATTTATGATGCACTGTTTGGAACCTTTGGTGTAGTAATAAATATCACTGGAGTTTTTTCCCAACACCAAATCTTTTTTTAACCCAACACCAAATCGTAAAAAATAACGATTTGGTGTTGGGAAAAAACTCCAGTAATATTCAAAAGGTGAGATATTTAATTTGAGTGATGTCAGTTTTCTTATTCAAGCATGAAGGTGACTGTGAGATTAAAGCCATCTTTATAAGAAAAGTTTATTGTATTTGTTATGTTCTGTTGCCAATATCTTTGTGGCATATTGAAGTTTATGATAAAATATTTTTAATTGGAATATCTTCTTAATATTAGAAATTTTGAGATATCTGAAGAAACATTGACATTTGAGATATCTTTTATATATTTAGGTTTAGTAATCGATTGCTGTTGGGAGAAATATTTGTTAGGTCATCAATCTTTTTTCTATTTGAAGCTATATTCTTGTAAAAAAAGTTTCAAATATACAAATTGTTGTCTTGAACAAACTTCAGCAAACAAAAGGTTATTAGTGCTTGATATGATCTCATTTTTGAGTGTAGTCAACCTGTTTTCTAAAATTGTTATTATTTTATAATTATAATCACTTTGATAATTGATAGTTGTGTCTAACCTTGAACAAAATCTTTATTCATTACTAATTTCAACGTCTTCCCTTTGGAGTAGTCTATCTATGTGGCCGGTTGTATGTTGCAGGTATTTTGATATATTTCCTGTAGAACGACACTCAAGTAAGAAGCATCTTCTGTTGTATTCTTTGAATAATTTCATTTTTGTCGTAGACCATAATTTTAGTTTTGTCATCACTTCAGCTCCATATATGTTAGAGTAGATGGGTAGTCTTTGCTGACTAGTCAGAAATAAAATTACTGAACTATTGGGATGGCAGCATGCAGAAGAATACACCTATGACATTCATTGCAATATTAGGATAAACACCTTTGGGGAAAAAACATGGTCGTTTGACGTAGAATCGTTCACAGACAATAATTTTTACAAAGTTGAATACTTTTTTTCCATAAAACAGTTCTATTGATACATTGAAATATCAAGTCAGGTCAAACTAGAAAATGAGAATACTTTGGTTCAATTTTTCAAGAACCGCAGTATGGTAGGACAAATATAATGTTTACTTCGGTGACATCCACATGAAGATTCAAATATAACAGATTCAGAAAGTTGTGTACTCACCTCCTTCATTATTTCTTTGCATTCCAATGGTTCCTCCAACATATAAAACTAAAACTTTTCTATATTTGCCTAAGGCAAAACGGTGAGTCATACTTATCTTAATCAACACACATGCACTATCAATGAATAGTTCAATCCAAATGAATTATTCAATAGAAAGATAGGCACTTATTGAAATAAGACTCGACTTATTGATAACACTAAAAACTGTTATGAAATGTACAGTCGGCGTAGAAATAAAAAATATGTGATGAAATAAGATGGAATAATTGGAATAATTTCAAATGATTTATTCTATTAACTGAACTGTGTGAAGTTCTAATGATTTTCATCAACGAAAGTCATACTGTGAAAACCGATATAAATTTTTTAAAAAACATAAAGGTAAATACTTAAATAGTACTTCGTTACTTCACCTTTCAGTTATTAACATATTATATGTTCTCAATAAAAATATTATTTAGAGGGCAAGTTTTTCAACAGAATTATATACAATTGAAAAATATCAGAAAAAAATAGGGCTTTAGATAATAATTGGGGAATAAGTGCGAGAAGAATGAACAATGAATTCAACAACTATACTCATAGCATATATTCATATGAGTATATTGATCTATTACTGTAGATTTTCATCATTTGAATAACGGATTCCGGAAAACTATTCGACAAAAGTTTTCAAAAATATATGTATATCGAAGTGTATTTTTCAATAATCGTCTTTACACCTGATACTACAATTTTAGAAAATGAATGTGCAAGAGTGTTAATCGAGTATCCACTTTTTCAATTCATTTTTCAACACAGATAAAACACAGGTTATTCATAATCATAATCGCCAAAAAAAAATTTGAAAATTTACAGTTCAATGTTAAAAACATATATTTTGAAAGTGATAGTACTAGTGTTAAGTTTTTAGGTATTTATCTGGATGAATTCCTGGATTAGAATAGGCATTGCCATCATTCTGATATCTAAACTCGATTTCCCGAAGTTTCTTTTTAATGATTTGAGATCAGTATTGACTAGAGCTCATTTATTAAGTATCTACTATGCTCATGTAGACTCTAGAATTAGATACAATGTTAGTGTCTGGGAAGGGTCAACTTCAGCATGAAATGTATTCCGTTACACAAAAGCGCATTGTACGATGCATGACAAACATTTCCCAGATTTTATTGTTGACAGTATTCCAAAAACTATAATAATTTTACTCTTCCACAAGTCTATATATTTGAAATGTGTGTATATGTGTTCAAAAATAAGTCAAATTTCACTTTGAATAAAAGTATTCACCACCACGAGAATCAAAAATCAGTTCCATGCGCCAATTGCAGGTATATTTTGTCTTGCACTCCTGGCTTACATCGCAAAAAGAGGATTCGGGCAAGCAGTCAGTCGAACTATCTTGAAAATACTAATGAAGAAGTCACCCAACCTTCCTTCGATGTTCCGGATTATCAAAGTGGTGTTTATGGGTATTCATTTAGGCGAATGGTCTTTTCAGGGACAAAAGTCATTAAATATGCCAAAGAAATGTGGAGAATTCGCCTTTTCTCCATTTCACTATATAAATTTCGTCGAATAAGATTAGACAAATGGGAGCAACTGAAAGAGGAATGAAAGAGCGTATAAACAATGAAAGTAGGGTGCTAGTGACGGTTCTGGACCAATCAGTGTCCTCTCCAGTCCTGCCACACTAACTTCGACCTTAAAACTTTTCCTCAGATCTTCGCCCATGAATTGGTCTTGAGTTATGTGTGACATCACATGGCCTTGAGTTACGTCACGACAATGTAACCTCCTTTTAACCCTCCGCCTATGATTTGACTTCAAAAGCAGCAACGATTCGATCACATGATCTTGAAACTAACAGTCGATTCTGATCCTCCTAACTCTATTAACGTCGCCTGACCATATGTCATGCGACATTGAATGTGTGTGTACAATTTCGGCTTGAGTGTACTGTTAACTTGAATTTAATATCCTCAAACGATCACCGTCTATACACTCGAACGCCCAAATGAGCAGATATCTGCATTGAAACGTTCATTCTGAAAGAACACTCAGTGGTGAGAGGACGTACTGCAAGTTTCAGAAGGCTCTCGTCCCTCTACCACGGCGGTCCCCAGAGGGTTATATCAATACTTGCATCGAGACATTTTGCCGTTCGTCTGCGTCTGACATTTTATACTCGGATGGTTCGGTGAACTCACGGAGGCATCAATATGTTCAGTCTAAACGAGGACCCTTCGGTGCGAATGCGTACTTGTAGATAAAAGCAGTGATTGTCTTGATACTCTAACAGCTAGGTATGTGGCGTACTTTGCTGAAGTTCGATAGTATATGAATATATTTGTACCAAGATCAATCAGCTGTGGCTATATTTTCTCATTGCTTATTGGGTGTATGTAATCCTTTCTCAAGGTCAGCTTCAGACGCGAGTATTAAGGTCATAACACTTTTTTCTAAAAGTTTCTCAAAGAAATTCATTCCTTTTTTATTTTAAAAACATATTATTTTTCATTAGCGGGCGTAAGCGAAAAACGTAACTTTGAGTATTGAGTTGAGGTGTACGTTACAGAGCCCCTAATTTTTGACTTCGGTACCTGAAAAGCACTTGAAAAGTAGTTGGCGTAACAGAGCTGATATTCCATATGATCAATATTTTACTGATTTTCATGATACGGTATTAGAGCAACAACATTCAGAAACTCAAGAAAACATAAATTTTTCGATAAAGCCTCTTCAAGTCAGGTACCTCAGAAATTAATGTAATAGATGAAAGATTTTACCCTTCATTACTATAACATTGCCTGACGGAAAACCCCTACACCTTTTACTAGATTCAGGTAGTCATCTTTCAATAATAAATCCAGCCATAGCAAATACTTTCCCTCCCGAATATATTGTCATAAAACCGAACTCTCTTTAAACATCTTGTGGAGTAAAGCCCACGAAATATGTTGCAATTTTACCATCCTTTGCAGAATTTCTTTCAAGACAACAGATTTCGTTTACACTATTCGATTTTCATAGATTTTTTGACGGTATAATGAGTTTTGAGGATTTGAAAACCATAGGATTTAATTGGAGTGTTCAACAAGAAAAAAATCAATGCAATACATAATTTTCCAATCCATAAAACACATGGACACATTTATAAATAACCTCGCAAAGATTACAAAACCATTAACAAATTGTTTGAGAAAAGGCAAACGAATTGAACATACACATGAATTCCTGAACGCTTTCAACTTATGCAAGAAATTACTTCGTAATGAACCCATACTATAATACCCTGACTTCACTAAACCCAGACGCTTCACAATACGCTATAGGAGGAGTCTTATGTCAAAATAATAAACCAATATGCTATGCAAGTAGAACTTCAAACACACAAGAAGTTAATTATTCGACTATTGAAAAGGATTTGTTACCTATTGTATAGTCTATTAAATATTTTCGACCCTATATTTTCGGAAATGAGTTCAATATTCGATCAGATCACAAACCAATTTAAAAGATCCTGCTTCTGAATTACATCGTTGGAAACTTTCATTATCCGAATATGAATTTGATATAGAACACATAAAAGGTAAAGAAAATATCGTAGCCGACGCTTTGTCAAGAAATCCTCCAAAAAACGACAACATATCAAATTTCGGAGAAGCCGGTGATATCGATGAAACTATAAAAGAATTTATAGAAGATCCTGAAAACTATCAAGAAGAATGCCATACTACCACAATACATTCACCTCAAGAAGCCTCATTACTGACATTTCCGTACTTTCACAAACCCTTGAACTACCATAAAAAACAAATGGTCATGAAAATCGTCGATTCCAGTAAAGCAATACTATGTTCACAAGAAAATATTTTTGGCAATAAACGCTTTTATATAACTTTACGGAAAAATCCTCTTGAAAAGATATTGAAGAACTTTTACTCAATCTTACGTATGTATTTTCATGATAAAGGTCACGGAAAAATATTAATAACATTTATGCAGAATACAATTGATACATAAACTTCAAAAATAATATTATGTTCCCATCTTCCAATTGATGTCAAAGAAAAGGATAGAATGAATAGAACTCAATATCATCATATATACAAAACTGGTCATAGAGGTATTCAAACCACTATTGAATCAATTAGAAAAAATTACTATTGGCCCAGTTTAACACAAGACGTGAAAAAATTTATTAACGATGGCAATATTTGCCAGAAAAAAAAATTACAGATCACCACCGAATCTACAATTTCAGGCAATACCTATAGGATCCAAACCTTTTGAGAAAATTCATATCGACACATTGTCTATTGCAAAAGAGAAATTTTTAACAATAATAGACACTTCTTCCCAAATTTGGACAAGGATATCAAATTCCATCTATAAATGAAATTAATGTACTAGACGGATTTGTCATTTATTTTCCACTACGGAATTCCCCACATGATTACTTGTGATGGCGGGCCAGAATTCAATAATAAAACTTTTCAAGAATCTTGCAAACGTTATAAAATTGAACTTCTATTTATACTCCAACTAACCCAAATTCTACCCTTTTAGAACAAATTCGAACTCAAAAAAATCAAACACCTGAAGAATCTTTGCAGAATTTATTTGAAGTATGCAGCATTACATTATTATAATTCAATTCATTCTACAACCAAATTTACCCTTTTCGAAATTGTAACGGTCACCTTGGTTCCAAAAATCCATTTGATCTGCAAGAAAAAGATGTAATTAGCAAATACGTTAATGATCATCAACAAAAACTTAAACAGACTTATAAATCGTTGAAACGAAACCTAGACAAACAAAAAACAAGTCAACTTGAAAAAAATAACAATAAACGAGACATGCCTTCCTTATTCTCAGGAAATGATCAATTTTATCTTGAAGAACAAGCGAGGGATAATTTGGCAAATAGATATAAAAAAATACGAGCCATATCTCAAACCAACAATAAAATCAAAACTTTTTTTTATAAAAACTGTATTTAATTAATTATAAAACAACAACAATAAAAATTAATTGGCGCTCCGGCGCGACTTCGTAACACGACTATCGTCAAACTTAAACCAGTCCGTTTCGTCTTTGACCAAGGCGTAATAATAACCAAATTCAACGCCAGAACCACAATG